GATTCACTGTCATATGTGGAATTTCTAGTCAGCACTGTCCATCATTAGCTGAGCTAAAAGAGTAAGGGAATGGATGTCATATTTAAAAGGGTTTCTAGCAGTACTGTCCTGGATTGTGGTGTGAAAAAAACTTATGCCCTCAGGTCCAGTGACTCTTAAATCCTAGGACAAGGTCCTGAAATGCCTCAGGAAAATCACATTCATGAAAAGAAGGCCAGTGTCAGGAGGTCCTGGGTGCTGATGCTGCGTCATGTAAGAGCAGGAGTCAGTTACCATGGTGATGTCGAAAGAGAGAAAAAAAGCTTCAAATTTTCTCTTCCCTTTTAACTGAGGAACTAATTCATAGAAAGCAACATTTCAATTTAACTCAAAGAGAAACTGGTTCTTTTCCTTCCCTGCCTCAGAAAACTAACTTGTAAAGGAGAGAAACGATTTCATCTCAGCTTTCTTGAAGAGTTTATATTTGGCATACTAAAGATATTTCCAACACCATTCCTTAAATTCCTCTAAAGACCTCTCCCATTTACAGAAGCACTTGCCCAAGACTTCAATATGGCCTTTTTTTCTTCTCAAGCTTCAATATTCTAAGTTGTTTGAAAACTGTGATTTTAAAAATAGGTGCAAAAAAATCTTTCTCAAAACAAAACAAAACCTCACACCAGGCATGGTGGCACAGGCCTTTAATCCCAGCACTTGGAAGGCAGAGGCAGGTAGATCCTTGAGTTCCAGGACAGCCTGATCTACAGTGTGAGAGTTTCAGGACAGCCAGGGCTACACAGAGAAACCCTCTCTTGAACGCCCCCCCCCATATACACACAAAAGAACTCACATATTCTATTTTATTCAGTTATCTATCTGAAATCCATACTTAATTAGAAAAGTACTCTGCCATTATCTCATACCATTTCCTTTAAAAAAAAAAAAAAACTCTGAAATATGTTTGGTATTGATCTGTCAAGTTTTCCTTCATTTAACAAGCATAACCTATTCACAGAAATTAAAGGGGGCTAGGGGTTTAGCTCGGTGGCAGAGCTCTCCACTAGTACTGCAAGGCGCTGGGTTCAATCCTCAACATGAAAAGGAAGGGGAAGGAAAGGGGAAGGTGGGAGAAAGCAATAGTGGGTCATCTCCAGGCACCAAATACTTTACTAGGTGTATCACACCAAATCTGAAAGGTGAATGATTGGATGTCAGCTCTGCCCCTTGTTAGCTCCGAGGTAGCAAACAACACATCAATTGTTTATTCCAAGCCCTAATGTCACAATGTAACAGATTAGAGACAATGACCATTACCCCCATAGAGTTCCTGCTGGGTTAAAGCTAGTTTAAACCCATAGTAAAAGCTTGGGAACCACAGTCAGCACTTACTGCTGGCTTGTCTGCCACAGCCAGTAAAACAAAGCTGAGAGCCAGAACTGCTCCCTGGAGAAAGTTGGCTACAATTTCTGGCAAAGATCTAAAGAAACAAATTGGTATTCTCTCAGGAATCTTCAGCCTCGGGTCTGTGTCCATGTGGGGAGAGGCTCTGAGCATACTGGTCCCAACACAAGGTCAAAGGTGTAGGTGGGACCTCGCTAGTCTGAGGGATGCAGCATTTGACTCCATCTGGCACTTAGCAACAGCCATGCACTGTTACATAAACGGCTCTCACTGCACACGTACATACAAGTGACACACACAGAGACGGACATCTCTGTCGTGGTGGCACAGAAGAGGTGGCGGGTAGATCAGGAAGCAACCTGAGTTGACAGACAGATCACTTTAGGCCTTGTAAGACAGAAAATCTGGGTTTACACGTTGGCTTTATCACTTTCTTTTCCGTGTGATCTCAGGCAAGCTAAATAATCTTCCTGTGTGTAATTATCCCCTTGTGCAAATGTGGATAAGGTTAGTACCTACCTCATAAAATGACTGGGAAGATTAAATACATAAATTACTTAGAACACATACTGGCCATATTAAGCATTAGTTTCCTAATTCATAAAACAGAAAAAAAATTTATAACTTAAGTTGTTAAATTAATTTAATACATTTTACCTCTAAAATATTTAACAGGCATTTTCATTAAAATGTGGGTGGATACCAAAAATAATTTTAAACCTGAGAAAAATATTTCATAATGGAATAATATAACCAAAAAAAAAAAAAATCAGTGCAAATCTTTACTCTCACTTTAGTGTTAAGAGTGTTTACTAGGAAACCATGAGTAATTGGCACATGCAGTGGTTTTCCAATGTGTAAAACACAGCTGACGATCCCATCTCTTAGATCTTCTAAAGGCCTTAAGCCAGAGTTACAAATTAGGCTTTTTTTTTTTAAAAGAAGAAACCACAGAGATTTTGAACCAACACTCCTTTTAATACTCATTCACTGAAAAAAAAGAGTAAATATAATAGCATACAGATCAATGATCCAAGAACAACTTACAATTGTACTTACATAGACAACAATACCTTCATATATTTAAAAAATGTCTTCATAAGGAACTTGCCGTGGAGGCTTTTAAAAGTTCCAAATAGGGGCTGGGGAGGGGCCTCAGTCAGTGAAGTGCTTAGCGTGCAAGCGAGAAGACCTGAGTTTGGTCCACAAACCCATGTAAAGAGCTAGGTATGTTGGTGTGCTCTGTAATCCCAGCACTGGGGAGGAGGAGCCCGGAAGACCCCTGGGGTTAGACAGCCATCCCACCTGACTAGTCAGTGAGGCCCAGTGAAGAGACCCTGTCTCAAAAGACAAGGTGGACAGATGGGTGGCCCTCAACCTTCCTAACGCTTCCTCCCTTTAAAACAGTTCCTCGTGTTGTGCTGACCCCAACCATAAAATCATCTCATTGCTACTTCATAACGGTAATTTTGCTACTGTTTCGAACTGTAATGTAAATATCTGATTAGCAACCCCAAAGGGGTTGTATCCCACATGTTGAGAACTACTGCCTGAGGTTGTTCTCTGGCTTCTCTGCACACACATACACACACACACACACACACACACAGTGAGTGGCGTAAGGCAAAGATTTCTATACAAATTAAAAAATAAGGTTAACTAATTGGACCCCAAATAAACAGAACTTCTATTTAGTCCATTGGTTAACAGTGTCAGCTGTTGAGAAGCAAAGACAATGACTGGGAAGAGCTACCACAAGGAAACTGATTAGCTGATAAAGCTAACTACAGTCATTGTCCAGGTGGTTGGGGTTGGAGAGAACACTAGATGAAGCACAGTGCAACATGAGAAATTATTTTTATATTGAAAGGGGAAAAACAACACTATGAATGATAATCATCTCTGAGTTGTTTCCCTTAGCTATAGATATTCAAACTGGAATCTTTTCAAGCCATAATTTTTACCCTAAAATTAACAAGCAGACAACAACATTAATACTGAAGACTCATTCCACAGACCCCAGCATCGGGGTCATCTGTGAACCAGACTGAGTACGGTGACTTTAGTCTTTCCCCCTACAAGATGAGATATAGGAAAGCTTAAACAAAATGTTGTGTCTGTGGATTTTATTAGGACACTTTCCTGCCTGGCAGGAAACAAAGATTTAAGACTTCTATGAAAAGAGACACATGTACCAGTATCTATCCCAAAAGAAGGTGGACTCGAGTTTAAAACAGCAGCTGTAGGGCTGGAGAGATGGCTCAGCTGTTAAGAGCACTAGCTGGTCTTTCAGGGGTCCTGAGTCCAACTTCTAGCACCCACACGGTGACTCACAACCATCTACAACTGTAATCTCCTCAGAACATATGACCTCTCCTGGTGTACAGACAGATGTGCGTGCAGACAAAACATCCACACACACTTTAAATGTGAACAAGCCTTGTTGAAATGTCCCTTAACGGCATGTGGCACATAGGCATGTGGGCTGATCTGCTTTGTCAACCTGACACAAACTGTCTGAGAAGAGGGAATCTCAAGTGAGGAATTGCCTCCATCAGATTGGCCTATGCGCATGTCTGTGGGGGCATTTTCTTGCTTGTTGATCAGTGTAGGGCCTAAACAAACTGTGGGCGCTGCCACCTCGGGCAGGTAGCCCTGGACATGGAAGAAAAGTAGCTGAACATGAGCCTGAAGGCTAGCCAGTAAGCAGCATTCTTCCACGGTTCCTGCCTCTGCTCCTACTTGAATTCCTGCCCGGACTTCCCTCAGTGATGGACTGTGATCCAGACTCATAAGCCAAATAAACCCTTCTCTCCCCCAATTGCTTTTAGTCATGGAATTCATCATAGCATTAGAAAGGAAATTAACACAATATTATACCAGACAACAATGTCTAGATCCAAGTTCCTAGGAATCAGAGACATATTTATACACATATATATGTATATGTATATATATATATATATGCAATTCCAGTAACAAAAAAATAAAACTATTAACTATTAATAGAATATGAATATACTGAACTCAATTCTAGCCCAAATGATAATTTTGTAACATGTAATTAGAAATTCCCAAGCAGGTGCATTCTTTCAAGTACATGATAAGCACATTTTACTATCAGTAGAGAGTTTTCTTCTATACTTACTTTTAAATTATTTTTTGTTTGTTTTGTTTTACTGAGTCAGGATTTTGCTGTGTAGCTCAGGGTGGCCTTAAGCTCGTGGTCCCCCTGCCTCAGGGCTGGGATTACAGACTTGTGGCACCACACCAGGCTTAAAATTATATTCTTCAACAGAAAGTAGATCAAAATGCTATTAAATTCCTTTAGTAAGACAAACAAGTTATAGCTTTCTCTCTGGAATGAATGAACTCTGAATTCGCCAAACATGCAATATTCTCATATTCCATCAGTGCTCACAAATCAATGTGGGTTTTTTGGTCCCATATTTGGTGAAAGAATATGTCAAATGTAGCTTCAAGTACTTCATAAAAAGTTAAACTACATTCATTATTTCTAAAATGGTTGTTCTACCCCCTAGGAGTAATGAGATTACTTAATGCATATGAAACAGGGATCCAATCACTGAGAGGAACAAAAGCTCTGGGAAAACACTTACTTTGTCTGCTAGAAGCTCTCGGATCTTGCTTGCTTGAACTCGGAATTTCATGAGCTGAGCCTCCAGAGCCATGCAGCGCTCTTTCCAATCTATAGGTCTTTCTGGCTCAGAGGGATCCGCCATATTTCTTCTAAAAAAGAAAGAAAGAAAACAGTCAGACAACACATACTGTAACACTGAAGATATTGCAAGAAATGTCTCAATGTACAATTGAGTGCCATCACATACAGGCTTTAAATTCTAAGATAACACCAGCACTTGCTACAGTTTGTAGAACCATATGACAGACCAGAAGCCAAGGCTGGAAGCCACAGTGAAGTGCTTAATTTTCTGTCTCAGTTTACCCATGCTGAAAGAAAAAGGGATGCCGACAATCACAAGCTTCACAGGCAAGCTGTGAGGAACAAACGAAGCAATGCCGCTTCCAATAGAACTTTGCACTACATGACAGCCCAAGCAGACATAAAAATAAATGGTCTGTGCTTAAGATAGCTTTCACTACAATACTGAAACTATCATTCCATAATTTAGAAACAAAGGAATACAAAAGAATTGTTCTACAAAGGCAGCAATTTTTGTTACAATCTGTCCTAACCATTGCAAACATTTTAGACACTCCTACATCCTGGCCACAAACTGCAGAAATATCACTGAAGAGTTGGAGAAAATTCTCTCACTTTTATGGAATCCCACCCCTACTGATTTCTGGTTTTGTTTTAAATTTTAGCTTTGTAAAAGACATTTTATTAACATTTACTATTAATGTTTCATCTGGGTATCACAAACTTTTTCATTCCATTGTGCCTTAACCTTTCTTTAACCTTTGCTTTAGAGGGAATATAGAGAAAGAAAACACAGATAAAATATTTAAAAATAAAAAGCTTTAAGAAAATAGACATTAATTGCTAACCCATTCAAAAGCTATGCAGAAAAATGTTGTTCTATCTCAAGCAATAAAATCTATTTCATGGTGGGTAAGTTTTCCTCTAACGTTAGAATAACTTGTTTACGTCCCAGTGTAAAAGGTGTTTGCCTTGATTTGCTGAGATTTGAACTCTGTGCAAGGTATACAGGTGCATTGACAATAACTTACATACCAAACCTATAGTTTTAAAAATAGCATAAACAGTACATAAATATTTTTCAACAAATGAAACTAAATCAAGGCAGTGTATCATACGAATAGACTAAAGGACAAAAAAAAATACATGATCGTTTCAACAACACAGAAAAAAGTTTGACAAAATCCAACATCTCTTTATAAGAAAATCATTCAACATCCTAGCAATAAAAAGGAAACTCTTCATCCTGGTAAGGGCCTTTTCGAAAAGCCCGCAGCTGACAACATAGATACTCATCAGTGACTGCAAACTTCCCCTTGAAATCAACAAAAGACAAAGATGCCTGTTCTCACTACTTCCACTCTACCTTACACTAGAGATGAAGCTAAGGCAAGAATAAAATAAAAAAGCTTCTAAATTTTAAAGGGAAGTAAAACAGTGTTCAGAGGATTTGATCGTGTACACAGAAAATTCTAAGAAAACATACACACACAGGCACAAAAACCTATTAGAACTACTGAGTAAGGTTTCAGGGAATGACATCAATTATGAAAAGATCAAGTTCTATACACTAGCAAAGAAAAAACCCAAATTAATAAAATATTCCACACATCATCAAGGAAAGATATCACGTCTAAATAAATGAAGAAATGGCATGGTCATGAATTGCAACCCATGCAGATGACAAGACTTGTAAATGGCGGAAATTGTCATGTTGATCCTAAAATTCACCTAGAAATTTTAGGGACCAAGGATAGCCAAAACGATCGTGAAGAGCTTAAGGAGTCACATTTTCAAACTTCAGAATTTGCTACAAAGCTACAGTGCCAAGACAGATTAAGTGAAGAGAGACATCAGCAGAATAAAGTTTACTCCAGAAATACAACCTCGTGTTTACAATCAATTTGTTTTTGACAAGAGTACCAAGACCGTTCAACATGGAAGCTGATAGTATTTTCAACAAATAATGCAGTACAACTGGATATCCACATGCAGAAGAGTGAATGTAGTCCCCTTCCTCATTCCAGGTGTACAAATTAGCATAAGATGTATCAAAGGCTGAAGTGTAACCAGAGCTCTAAAAAAATAAGAAAATAGATAAATGAAACCTTATCAAAATGTAATAATCATGCATCTCTAAGGACACTATGAAGAGCTTGTAAAAATAGCCTACGAAAGGGTAAAGGGTAAAAACTATTTGAAAGTCAGGTATCTGGTAAGAGATGTATCTAGAATATGGAACTGATTCAAACGACTCAATCAATAAAAAAGGACAACCTTCCAGGCTTGGTGGCACACGCCTTCGATCTCAACCCTAAGGAAGCAGAGGCAAGTGGATCTCTTTAAGTTCAAGGCCAGCCTGTTCTACATAGTGAGTTTCAAGACAGCCAGCCAGAGCTACATAGTGAGACCCTATCTTGAAAACAAAACAAAGAACAATCTAATTTGAAGAGTAGGCAAAACTGGGGCTGGGGAGATGGCTTACTTGGCAAAGTGCTTGCCATGCAAACATGAGAACCAGATTTGACCCTGAAGTGAAAAAAAAGCCTCCATCAGACTGTCTATAGGCAAGTCTATAGAGCATTTTCTGGACTAATGATTGATGTGGGTGGACCCAGGCCACAGGAGTGGGGCAGGGCTTCCCCTGGGCTGGTGGTGGTCCTGAGCTGTATAAGAAACCAGGTAGAGCAAGCCATGGAGAGCAAGCCAGTAAAAAGAATTCTTCAATGGCCTCTGCTTCAGTCCTGCCTTACTTTTCTGCCCTGACTTCCCTCCATGACGGAATGACCTGAGAATCGTGAGCTGAAACAAACCCTTTGCTCAAGTGGCTTTTGGTCACAGTGTTTTATCACAGAAACCCTAACTAAGACAGAAACTGCTACCAGGGCATGGACTGTTGCTATGACCAACTTTGCCATGTTTTTGTTTGATTTGTATTCTTCTCCCATATATTACATCCCAACTGGTTTCCCCTCCCTCCCCTACTTCTCCCAATCCCTTCCCTTGCCTCCCCAGATCTGTACCTCCTCCTCCGTTTCCCTTCAGAAAAGAGCAGGCCTTCCAGGGATCTCAACCAAACATGGCATAACAATTTACAGTAAGACTAGACAAATAGTGTCATA